AGCTGGAGGGTTGAATGTATCCTAACAAGCAAACGGCTGTAAATTTTGTCATTCATAGCAAACGTGAAAAAGGGAACGATTCGAGTTGCTATCCATAAACGTGTCCAATTGGTCTTTGAACCGTTTCATAGACTGACACAAATAAACGGCTGCGTATTTGTAATAGTGCAGTTCACTACGAACGGATGGGCGTGTCAGGCAGGATGAGTTTGGCGCGGTGCCAAACCGTTCTCCACCAGCTGTTAGAACGAGCAAGTGACAAGACTGTATAACGTCGTTCATATCACACCATATCGTTTCCCAACAGTTGTCGCACACATTCTTCAACAATTGGCAGAGAACGGGTTTTTCACCTTGGCACACTCATATTGCCTGACACGCCCCACGTGCGCAGTGAATTTCAGTAGGTAGCGATTACTTGAGCAAAGGTATCGAACCTTTATTATGGTTTTCACAAGATCTTCTCCCCTTTCCTAGCCTTCGCTGTGATACAGACCGCTGCTTCTCAACTTGAAGGCTAGTCTTCAGAACACAATCCGTGGTCCTCCCCTGATAATGTGGCTCGGTAGGAGCATAGGATATATCACATTCGCAGCTTAAAAGTGAGTGATGAAGGGGGGAGGGGGAAATGCGTGACAACTGAACTGACCAATAGCATCACCAGAGACAAGCGCCACCGGCGAAGGCGAAGAGTCAGCCATCTCATTCATCTTTTTATCCTCTCATCCATTGTCTCCAGTAAGCTGGCGGTGACAGTATCTCTTTGGCTCTCGCTTTTCGCGCTCTCGTCAACTGTCCCAAAGTAATAGTAAAAACAAAGGCTCCAGCTGAAGAGTAGTGCAGTCTGCGATGGCGCAAGACCAACTTGAGAACAAAAAGGCGAACATACCCCAATACAAACTCCCATCCAGCAATTTCTGGAGATACATGCAAGTCTCGACCTTCAGGCATTCCAAGGAATAAAACAAGTGACTTTAAATCATGACAGCCGTCTCCAGATATTTTCTTGATCTTCAATATAAGCGATGGCTTCAAGGGTTTCTTATTTCTTATACCCTCAAAGGCCCTGGGGCGGGGGGAAGGGGGGGGTAGAAGGGAATCAGAGCCAAAACGTAGTTCGAAGTCGCGGAGTCTTCTTTGAAAGCAGTTTCGCTCATTTTTCGCTTTATCTTTTTGAATACAGAACTGACGAAAGTCGATCACCAACATACCGAACGAGAACTCTGTCAATCCGAAGATAAAATCGCATCAAAGCGAAGAAGAAACCAGGCATTACGCGAAGTCTCACGGATAGCTGAAAACATTGTTTCGTTAGAGGATATATGGTGCACCTCCATAGAGAAACAGACTTTCTGAATCCCAGATCAAGTTATAATTCCGCCCATGACATTGGTAAGATCGACAGTTTGCGACAAACTAATCCTTGGCAAATCGTCGCTTTTCGTTAACCTCCGTGAAAATTGTTCGAATGATCCGAATGTCAGAAGAGTCTGTAGCACTGTACACCGTTCAACTAATCATAAGGCGTGTACTTGACATCAGGTGAACCAGCTCCTTATTTCGAAGAAGATGAAAATTGCTACAATGACATCGACGCACAAACGTAAAACTCAAGAGCAATACATTTCCGTCGAACTATTACAGCTAAAGATGGCAAGAAAGAATAAACAAAGTTGTAACTTGGTTGCATTACCGCGTATTCAGGAAATTATGCAAGGAAACTACATCAGTTATCACGGATTACTCACCTGTGCTGTACCATGGTCAGCTAATTCATCCTCATACAACGTTATTTGTGAATAGAATCCTATGGGTTCTTGTCGTTTCAAACGTTCCATGTCGATAGTCAAGTCGGTCGGCTCCACCTCCAAATATGTACCACTAACGCGTTAAATTATACTTTTAAGGAATGTTTTGAGAAAAAGGTCTTGCCTTGCAACCGTGAACAGTTCCCGCATACTTCGAAGTGAAAGTCCAGTCAAATGGATGGGCAGTTTTCTCTGCTATACCCCGTCTTGCTTCCTGCCACGTTAACGAAGGAGCAACCTTCAAGAGGAGTTAAAACACTCACCACTGGTTGAACA